AGTCATTCACAAACAAACCGTTGTCAATTCAAAACTTGATATGATCTTCTGGGAAATTACTCATCAGAAAAGATTAAATACCTGTGACCTACAGTTCAACTTGTTCAATTGTATTGAGCCGCAGAATAACTTGTTTAACGCACAGCTAATCCTGGATTATCACGCTTATACCACGCCCTGCTTTGACCAGTTAAAGCGGTTACTGATGTTTGCATTGCAATATTTAACCGGTTATTTTCATCAGACAAAGATAAAACATGTGTAAATTTACATTAAATGAGAAATTGTAGCATTTATTTGAATTGCATTATTATATAATATTTATTATTATAAGAATAATAAGCTAAATTTATATAGCGCCTTTCCCAAGCTCAAGGATGCTTCACAGTGACAGTAAATACAATCAGTTTACACATAAATGGACGTTTGCCCAGTCCAAATAATGAGCGATTGCAGTCGCAAGTTGTATTACATTTCCAATAGAAACAGAGACAACAAACATTAATTATAGACAGCCTAGTGTACAGTGGAGAAGAGATCTGAAATTACTCGTATTTCAAATGGTTTTAAAGCACACCTTCCAGCCAATCTGAATCGAGTATTTAGACAGACTATGGTATAAGTGTGTGTGTGTATATGTATATTAGGGGTGGCACGGTTCACAAAACCCACGTTTCGGTTTGTATCACGGTTTTAGTGTTACGATTTCGGTTCTGTACAGTTCTTGTTATTTTTTTTTTCTTTTAATCTTTAACCCTCCAGAAATCTACTTCAGCATATGATGTAAAGCTTAATTATCCACAATTTAGGATACGGTATAAAAAAAAATGTTATATCATGCACAAACTTAATTTGACTTGACTTTAAGCAATTTATGGACCATCTTCGAGGAAAGCTAGGTGAGATTTTGATACAGCAAGAAAGAAGACATTGATCACATGCTTTTTGTTTATTTCTGTCTGTGCAGCACCGGTTCAAGTCGAACAAGCTTTGCATACCAACAGTGCACACACGTCTTATTTCGCGTGAAAAGGAAACACGTGTCTGAGGTCACATATGGGCACATGGTTATATTGCACATGAGATGCGCACACGCTCGAACCCTAGTATGCCACCCCTAGTATGTAAATGTGTGTGTGAGAATAGAGAGAGAGAGAGAGAGAGTTAAATAGCAGTATATTTATTGCCGTTCATAAAAAGTCAAAAGCATAGTAAAATTTAGAGAAAAAAATGATCATAAAATGAATCCTCTCTAATTGTAGTTATTAATTGTAAAATTAAAATATATTCAATTGTAATTAATATAATGTCTCTGCAGGTTTTTCTGTTAACGCTTCATCTGAGAGACTCAACATGGGTGAGATTGAGACCGTGGAAGACTTTTGAGGCTCGCTGATCAACAGGCTCCCCCTACCGACCGTTTCCCTTCTGAACAGCTGCCCTTATATTCCCCTCAAACTCTTTTTCTGTTTGTTTTTTTTTTTCTCCTTTTTGTACCGTCACTTCTCTGATTTTGGAGTAGGTTTGAACAGCAAGTTTTTCTTCCTCCCTAATCCAGAGGAAGCCACAGTTGCAATAACAGCGCTGTCCCACAGCCACGAAAACAACCAAAAACACAAAGCCCCGAGTAAAGGAAGAGACGGGCTTGCTTCTGCAGGAGAGGAGTCGATGATTTCAGTGTCCTTCACTGAGATGGAGTCTGCTCCCGACTGATGTTTCTTTAAGTGTGAATAGAAGGATTGCAGAGGAAAAAAATGATGTATTATCCCCATTACAATTTCCTTTTTTAATTTATTTGTTCCTTCCCTCATTCTTTTAGTTTTTTCCTTTCTATTCCCTTCTCTCCTCTTCCGCTTTGCCGCCCCCATGTTGACGGACGTCGAAAATAATGTAGGACTCGAGGAAATGTCAACAGTGTCCTGTTTTAAGGACATGTTTGAAAGTTCCAGACACTTATCCATTTCTTTGTAAAATATTAGGCTGTTTAAAGAATAAACTTTCAATTCTGCATCTGTATTATAATATATGGAAATTATGAACCAGTGGAGTCATACTTTTTTCTTTTTTTTTATTACAGTACGACAAATAAATCAAAACAGTCTCTTGTGTGGGCTGATATGCACACTTTTGCTCCCAATGCACAAAGCAGGGTTGTGCTAAGTCGACTTGCAAATGTTTACACAAGTTGCTATTTACAAATTTGCATGATACAGATCCCACATTTATGGAAAACCTGGACATTTCAGGGGATTTGGAAGTTGTAATTTCCAGGCCTCGTATATTTGAAGTACGTATGGGTAGAGTTTGCTATACATATCTGATCGGCTCAGGTATTTCATTAGCAAACAGTAACTCATTATGTGAAGTCATGGTCAATACAGTGGTTGTTAATGACTAAAAAAAAAAAAATCATAAATTCATAGTTCCCCGGTTTGATTTTTATCAAGTTTAATTTGTAATTGTAAACAAAAAAACAACTTCCTAAATTTGACACGTTCTCTTTAGTTTCTTTTTCCAATGCATTTTGGTTGATGAGTCTCAAGCCGAGCAATTGTTTCCTAAATAACCACAGGAAATGTTTGTTTTAGAGAATCATTGTTTAAAAACCAGAATAAATGTTAAAATGCAAATTAGACACTCAAAGAATACCTAAACAAGTCACAAAATGCATTGTTAATATGATTAGTGTCTTATGAAAGTTGAATCTGTAACCATGCTCTCCTAATTAGAGTTGATATCTTATAAACAGTAGTCCTACCTTTGAAAGGACAGGTTTGTACTGTGAATGCGACTTCTGTTTGTTTTTACAAACTCTGAGATCTGACTCAGTTAAACTTAATTGTTATAAATTATTACATTATTATTAGTTGACATACTGTTGGTTACAAAACATAACTTCTATTTAACGTGAAATATCCCTTAAATTGGTTTTCTGAGTTGCATAAAGCAGGCAAATTCCTTGAGTTAACTTGTTATGTGTGTAAAATGGCCAAAGAAACCCTTCAGTGTTATAGCAGTTTGTTCCTGTCTGGTGTTTATGTAAGGGAACTCGGCATCTAAGAAAAATATTGATATGTACTATATACTCAGTTCATGTCTCCATAACAACATCAGTAGAAGAGTTTGATGGCAGGATGAAAAAAAAAAAGCCTTGCCGGAAAAGTTTCTCAGATTTAAAAAAAAAGTGATGAGGCCTATGCTAGCCCTTCAGCCTTGATTATTTATAATATGCTAAATGTATATATAGCAACAGCCACTACACAATAATATTAAAGACACCATTTGTAATGAAAACATTTTATTAAGAAAATTCAGCCCGTTCTCATCCCAAGGCGTCATATGTGACGCTTTTGACAATGCGTATACATCCAACGCACATGGCACTCTTTAGCGTCAATATGAGATGCAGATATATATGGGCCAGAAGGCGCCTCCTAGTGGTCTAAACCTACCCCAGATCTAAACCTACTCATTACCGAAGCGTGTTATTTTGAGCTAAAGGGTGTCATGTGCGTTGGATGTATATGCATTGGCAAAAGCGTCAGTATATGACGCCTTGGGATGAGAATGCATTGGAAAATTCACAAGATGAAGCAAAGTGAAGAGGTATTTGATGTCATAGCCAACCTGATCTCACTAGAAAATTTAACTGTTATAAGAGGTGGTGTTTTCTTATGAATTTTTAATGATTAAAAAACGTACTAAAATTAAAGACTTTTAGAGAAAGGAAGCACTTTATTTTTCAGTCCTGTACTATATACTTATCACAGTAATTACAGTAACTGGGTTATAACTAGTAACTAACCGTGAACCTTAACCCTTGTAGTTACATGCAAAAAAATATACATGATCAGCAAGTAAAAAAAAAAAAAAACATATTTAACTCATGAAAAAAAAAGAGTTTTAAACTTTTTTAAATAATACAAGATTTATCTTTTTTGAAGTTTAATGTGATTAAAGTTGAAATGACTTAAACAGCCAAGGTGATTGTACTTAAATTAAGGCAGAAGCACTGACCAACAGTGGTTTTTACAGTGACCTTATATTGGCCAGTATTTTCTAAGTATACACTGCAAGTAAGGCCTACAGGTGCTGTAAAATCCAAAACCATGTAGGTGTACTCACCGTCACTGGGAAGGAACCAGATCACATGAAAACATATGCGATTACAAATCCATACGAATTAGCCACCAAAACGTAGAATAGTTACGAATTCCCATGAGATTGTTGGTCCTGTTGTTTTTTAGCACCAGCATTGCACTTAAATGCACTTTGTAATAACTGATTAGAATAACTATAGATTTTGGTCACTTTAAGGTCCAATTCTCATTATTAACTAATAATTGCCTCAATAAACTCATAATGACTGATTATTTATACACTGTAAAAAAATATTGATGGTTTAACTTAAAAAAGTAAGTAACCTGGTTGCCTTAAAATTTTAAGTTCATTGAATTGGAAAAAGTGAGTTAATACAATGAAGGAGAATGATTTAATCATCCGAAACTCAAAATTATATGTTATCTGAACTAAATAATTTAAGTTGATTTGACAAAAGAAAAAAATGTTGTGATTACTACACTGTAAAAAAATATTGCTGGTTTAACTTAAAAAAAAGTAAGTAACCTGGGTTGCCTTAATTTTAAGTTGATTGAACTGGAAAAAGTGAGTTAATACAATGAAGGAGATTAATTTAATCATCAGAAACTCAAAATAATAAGTTATCTCAACTAAATAAATTATAAAGTTGATTTGACAAAAGAAAATGTGTTGTGATTTACAATAACTATAGTTATTGTAGTATTAACGGATGTAGAATATGGTCATGCATAATAATGCATTAAAATGTGCTTTAAAAGTACTAATAAAAACAGCCAATATCCTTGTAATGCTTATAAACTAGAGAATTGGACTAACTAAAGTGTTACCTTTTTTGTCAGAATTTCACTATATGTAAATTGTCCCTAATTATGAATCATGCCAACATAATCAAACTTGCCTCGCACAGTTTGATGTCACTTCGACCTACTGCGAGATCCATCTGACCCGGGCAGAAGAGTAGCGCGGGACATGAGGGCCGTCATCATCGTGGTTTGAAGAAGGTGGGCAGTTACCAGTAGAGTTGACAAAAGTCTGCACTGTCCACAGAGTCCTCCCACTTAAACCCAGCTTACCCCTACATCTCTCACTCGCTCTCTGTGTTCCTTCATTAACGCAGCAGCAGTCTAGGAGCCGAGAACAGAAGAGTCCGATCAGGAACCATGGGCCTCGGCAGAAGCAGTTCCAGCGGTTTATCTCGGCTCGCCTTCATCACAGCTCTGGCGTTCTGCATGGCTTTTGTGCAGACAGGTAACATCACCTAATGATGCTATTCTCATAAATCTGTTGACTTGTTAGGAAAGGCTAATAGGGTTTTTAACAAGCAGGTCATTCTGATTGGTGGGGTGTTGGATTTTGTACACTTGGAAGTGTAGATAAGTGTCTTTCTGAGCCCATCTTAATGAATTACATCATCTCTGAAATCTCTTAATCATCTAATTTTCGCCATGTCGACCCTCTTGGTTTTGCAAGGCCTCTTTCCAGTAGCATGAAAGTGAGACCTTTTAAAACTGAATAGCAGAAATTTTATTTTAATGACCATTTGCTTAACTTGATTATTTCCATGGTGTTAGTTCATTATTGTAAAAAAAAAAATTGAGTTATTGTAAAGTGAACCAAGATAAGTGAAATGGAAATGTTTCACTGAACCAATCTCTGGATCAAGTCTTTACAGTGGCATGAGTGTGCGAGACTCTTGCAGACTGAAACGTCACACTGTCTTCAATGACTCAGACCTTCTCTTTTTCACATCCAGGTGTTGAACCTGTATTTAGTCTTGGGTTCAGCGCGTACAAAGACAAAGAGTTCGTTTGTTGGACTCTTGAGGAAAATAAGGCGTTTATAAATCTGAGCACAAACTTCATTTGTACAAAAAAATTAATTAGATTTGCATTCTTAAAAAGGTTGCCTTTTTCGACCATCATCTCTAAGTATAGGACTTCCAAATGATATATTAAAATCATAAACCTGCTCATGAAGTGTGAAAAAATATGGTTAAGACACTCCGAATTTCCAGGCAGAATGCATGATGTAATACTGTTTTTTTCTTCTTCTTCACATTTTCTAATGTGAACTCATTTGCATTGATGTCATGGGAGCAAAAATTATTCCAAAAGTCTGGATGATCATGATGTCTGTCTGTTTGGATCCATTTCCAGTACATAACAGAATTTGTGGTGGAAGAACTTTATATATATTAAAAAATAATTATATATATAATTTTTTTAATTAATTATAAATAAATAGAATATAATATATAAAATAAATATTAATAGCTCTGCTGTGCTGTCAATATTGGACTTGTATTCGAGAACGATTTTGCATGATGCTTCATCTCAACCATAAATATGGCTATTTATTTGTATTATTTTCAAGTTATTTGCCATTATTTAATTTACATTTTGTTGGGACATTTTTTTTCACTAAGACGGCAAATTCTGTAACACTGAACATTGTTGACTAGTTCTCATCAAGTCTTGTAACCTTCATGGAATGCTAGATTGTTTCAAAGCAGTAATAGGAAAATAACAGAATTAATAATGCAAATGCAATGCAGTTCTACAAAGATCATTATTCAGTTCAGTGTTGGGTAACACTTTATTTCAATAGTCCACTTTAGACATTCTACTAACTTTAAGTAACTTTTCAACTACATGTCAACTAACTGTCATTAGAGTATTAGTAGACTGTCTGCTTAATATCTGCTAACACTTTATTTTGTTGGTCCCCCAACAGACATTCGACTACAAGTAAACTTATTCTACTATAACCCGAACAATTACTGACAGTTTACTATAATATACTAATATTCTAATAAGAGTTAGTTGACATGTAGGTGAAAAGTTACTTATAATTAGTAGAATGTCTGAAGTGACTATCGAAATAAAGTGCAACCCAGTGTTGATTCAGTTCAGTTCAATAACTGTGTGAAGTCAATTAAAAACTAGTTCAATTTAGCTATAAACTCACAAGACAATACTGTCATTGGATCAAATCATCCAACCTTGATTCACTGATTAAATTCAGTAGATGTTGATTCAATAACAGTGTCAATGGTGCAAAATCATCCAACCTTGATTCACTGATTAAATTCAGTAGATGTTGATTCAATAACAGTGTCAATGGTGCAAAATGTATCCATTATGAAACAAATCTGATTCAGCTGTAAAGCAGCTCTACAGAAAACATTAGTGTCATCATCCAGCTCAATTCAGTTCACTTCAAGTTTTGTTCACCTCTGTCTGAGGTCAACATCAATGATAGTAAATAGCCTAAGTTACCCAGCTAGCAGTGAACATTCTCCGAACTTTAGCTAACGTTCTGGCACGTTATGATCAAATATCTTCCAGTAACCTTAATTGGAAGTTTATTCAAAGCTATCTTATGTTCTCAAAACGTTAGCACAAAAACATTTATACATCGTTGAAGTGTTTTTTTTTTTTTGAAACGGTTTAGTTGAACGTTCGTCTAACGTTTTTTTTTTTTTTTTTTTTAAATGTTACCAGTTTCAGAACGTTCAGAGAACATTCAAACATAACATTCCTATAATGTTTGTAGAATCATCAAATGTAAATTTTCCGCAACAATCTTATTTTCATGGCTTTTTTCCAGCTTTCCATGTTTTCACTGTTATATACAGGCTACGGTAGGGGGCGCTACAGCGAATCTTCTGGAAGAGTACTGAATCTCCTGATCAAAACACAGGCGATGTAGTCTTTGAAAAAAAAAACACGATTTTCTCAGCTTTTTGTATAAAATGTTGCGCTTTTTTATAAAAAAAAATCTTGATAAGAAAGAAAGAGTGAATGAAGCTATATTATAAAACTGGGTTTTTTGTTTAAAAGCAAAGCGTCTGTTTTTTTATTTTTTACATATTGTTCAGATAAAAAATCTATTCTGATGACCATGACATTTTGTAAAAATTATTATTTTTAAAATGCTGGCTGTGGTATGCAAGCTTTTAAAAGAAAATGCTGGCAAGCAAACAAAAAATGTAGGTTAAATTTTTTAATTACATTTTTAACCCAATGTTTGGGTTTGTCCATATTAGGACCAAAGTTGGGTTAAAACAACCCAGCATTTTTAGTGTTTTGAATGTTCCCGAGAACTGAATCGAAACGTTGGCAAAACGTCCAGAACACATTTTTGTTTGCTGTGTTTAAAATTATAGAATGAACGTCTCTGTATGTTTTACTCTAGCGGGAGTAAGGTGAGATGAGGACATGGGCGCAAGCAAGACCCTGGCACACATACTAGTGTAGCGGACCAGTGTGTCATTCGCACGCATCTGTCTGTGTGTTGTCATCTCACTGTTGTGTGTTAAAATACAAGAAATGAGACAACGTCCTTGGCCTGTTGCCAAATGTTTAAACTTAAATATTTAAGCAGGCCATGAACTGACAAACACACACAAAAAAGTGTGCTTTTTCAAATCGCCGGCTTGTGCATGCTGACGCCATGGTGCGTGCTTTTCCACAGACTGGCTTCATAAACAAGCTTGTTTAACTTGCAGGACTGACTGTGTTCAGGCCGTTGGTTCCTCTGCCTCTCTGACCACACAAGTGCCTGCTTGTACCCTCGAGTGAAGGGCTCATTGATGTATCGCTGGCCGAGAGCCCCGGTGTGCCGTACCTACAGCCGGCTTCAAGTCCAGAAAGTGTGCGTCTCGCTGAGCAAACACACTATTATTAAAAATACTCATACGTTGGCCATCCCCAACTCGCTGACTCCAAATATTAACCTTTTATTTTAAGATTTCGGGTGGAATAAGAGCATGTTTGCATGTTTAATGGCCTGGAAAGGTGGTATAAGTGGCCACTGCATGTAAATACATCTATTTTGGAAATCTAATAGGGGTTTCGATGCAAAAATGAGCAATCAATGTGTCTTGTTGAGTTAGTTTTGGCCTGTGCCATTGTTTAGTTATTTAAATATATTGGCATTATTGCTTTATTTATTATTATTACTTGTATTATTGGTTATTTAAAGGGTTTTTTCTTCTTTTTTTAGTATTCTTACTTGTAGCTTGTCATACGTTGGTCATCCCCAATTCGCTGACTCCAAATATTAACCTTTTAATTTAGGATTTCGGGTGGAATAAGAGCCATTTTTGCATGTTTAACTGCATGGAAAGATGGTATAAGTTGCCACTACATGTAAATATCTCTATTTTCAAATTATGCTTTTTCAATGCACAGATGAGCACAATGTGTGTCTCAAGCCATGCCATTGGCTTGTCCTAGCAGGGTCAGGCTAGATATCCCACTATTTATCCATGTTCTCTCTGTCTGTCTTTGTCCCTTCATTTTGGGGTCAGAAACTTTGTCCATAAGGTGCCCTTTAGGAACGGCGGGCGAGCAGTAACATAGGAAATGGGCTTTGTGCTCCGTGAGTATGGTGTAAGTGAGAAAAGTCACATGGCTGTTCAATGCCTGTGGGAGATGTGGAATGTGAGTGAGAGATGTGAGGAGAAGAAGAAGAGTGGAGGAACGCGGAGGACAAGATACCATAGTGAGAAGCGAGTGCTAATCCTCCATAAAGATGCCCTTTGAGTCATACATAATGTGACACATCTATTAATCTATGTATCTATGTATCTATCTATCTATCTATCTATCTATCTATCTATCTATCTATCTATCTATCTATTAATCTATGTATCTATATGTATCTATCTATCTATCTATCTATCTATCTATCTATCTATCTATCTATCTATCCATCTATCAAACTATCTATCTATCTAATCTAATAATAAGGTAATAAGGTTATTTTTTTAAATAAATACTGTATTTGGTATTCTTACATGTAGACATAATTGTTATTTATATCATCCAAGTTGCATTTCATTTAATTATTTAGTATTCTTACAGGTATATTACAGTAATTATTGAAATATATCATGTTCTTTTCCTTTCCGTTTTGGAACGATTTCGTGAAAATACCTTAAAAAGCCTTCTCAAACTGCATACATTGTAGATTCACCTTCATTTTTTTCCTTCTATCAGAAACAGTGGCTGATTCCATCCCTACACTGCAGAATGATAACCAGGACACACTATCCGGTGCCGGAGCCATCGACGCGACAACTAAAGTCCCTTACCAGGACCTGACGGGAAACATCCTCTACATTGACTATGAGGACAGTACACGTTCACAAACCCTGGATGAGGAAGGTAAAGTTAGTCCACCCATGTTCACATACACAGAAATAGAGCATATTTTATATGTACTAGCTCAGAAATTGCTTAGTAATTAATCCTCCTCCAGCTATTGAATATGAAAGTCTTTGTTAAAGAGAACCTACTGTCTGTATGTTATGGTGTGTGATTGACAGGTGTATTATTTCTGTTCTCAGTTGTTCTGGGGCCAGGGGCCATCACAGCTATCGTCATCGCAGTGTTCCTCGGAGCCTCTGTTCTCCTCGCTCTCATTGTGATCACGCTCAGAAAGTTCACTGCCTCTTAGGAAGGGACATTTATGTTTTCATTTTCTCCCTTCCTCAGTCTCATCTCTTTGCTCCCCTTGTTTTTCCCTCTCCTCCATCTGTACTCATTGGTGGCAGGTCCCTCATGAAATGGTTGTTTAGTTGTTCTTTACTGTTACTCGACTTGTTTTGTGATTTCTTTCTCCTAATCTTAAAAATAAAGGTTCATTATTGGCATCGATGGGCCCATTAAGAACCATCCATGGAGCCTTTTCATTGCACAAAAGGTTCTTTATAGTGGACAAATGTTATTTAGATTAAAATGTTCTTCACACTAAGAAAAAATGGTTCTTCCATGGCATCGCTGTGAAAACCTACCTTGTGGAACCTTTATTTTTAAGATGAAAACTCAAGACAAAGCAAACGAGACAAAAGGGGACTTGCAATCAAGAAGAGAGATTATAGGTGCATTTATTTTGTGACCATTATCAATGAAGAGATCCTCTTGTAATTAGGTTTAGACAGAAAGATTATAGGGTTGTTGTTGTTGTTGTTTTTTTCAAAAGAAGTAAAAAATATTGATTTTATAGTGACATTTTACGATATAGTTTACCATTCATGTGCAAGTGCAACCATTTTTTTAGTTCATACTGTTTTCTAATCTAATGTATATCAATGTCCATTTTTTGTTATTAGATTACACTGATTTCTGTAAAATGTAAAATGATCATGTTTAAGATAAAGTGTGTGTGTGTGTGTGTGTGTTGTCTATTGAGAGAAATCAAAGCAGTCTTTGAGAGTGAGTGTTTTAACTGAACTTTTATACATAAACTGATGAATTTGTGTGTCACCTTAAGATTAGTCACTCAACAGATTAAAAGACCATGTTTAATCCTCCTCCAAGAGTGTTTTTTTTTTTCACTTAAGCTTTTAATATAATGAAATTAGTTATTATGCTAAATAATTGGTTATTTAGATTGTTGTTGCCTATTCTCTGTATTGTTGATTTAGTAGATGTTAAAACTTCATGCTGATTTGTACTCGGCTTTCGCCAAGATAAACACAAATTAGTTGAGAAGATAGAGGAACAGCCCTAAAAATGAAAAGAACATGTTCAAACATGTACCTTAACACAGCAGAGGCTTTCAACAAATAACATTATTATAGTTTAAAGTAGACTTTGAAATTTTAATTATTATAATTGTAAACTTTTTTTAAATTGCATCTATTAGATGCAATGGTAACACTTAATAATCAATTTGTTAACATTAGTTAATATGAACTAACAACAATGACAAATGCTGCATTATGTGCATAGGTCTTAGTTCGACATGTTAATGTCAACATTTGCATTATCAAAATCAAAAGTTGAATCTGTTAATATAATTTGATTTGAGCTGACTTGAAGTAACAGTGAATAGCAGCCTAATATTTTTAGTTAACATCGAAGATTAAAAATGCGGTGACAAATGTAGCCGATTGCTCATTAGTTATTTCATGTTAGCCAGCCTAATGGTTATCTAGTCTAATTTAACTAACGTTAATGGAACCTTGTAAAGCGTTACCGATATCAGACTATAATGTTTAGTCTACATTGAAATAGATTATTCCAAAGCTAACACCACAAAATTTTAATTTAGTTTATGTAAATACACTGTTTGTAACCATGACTGACGTTTATTTTGAGTTAGAAATAAAGCATACTTTTGTTTATCTTAGCTTAGCCTTGGCGGAACACCAAAGAACATCTTTCGAATCCTCTATTTAGTCACTTTACAAAAGTGTGATGGAATTAGTGGGTTATATGAATCACCATGCATGTCGGCTCGTTGGTCTAGGGGTATGATTCTCGCTTAGGGTGCGAGAGGTCCCGGGTTCAAATCCCGGACGAGCCCTGCTTTTTGCACTTTACTTTGACGACACGTTGAAGTCAGTCAGTTCCAATATTGAAATGGCGAATCTTTTTCTGACTTTTCTAAAAAAGAGAAATGTGGCAACGAGATTTTATAACAAGCTGACGCTCCTTCAACGTTCATTTCAGAGTCGTCAACAGCCTCCCTAGTATGTATGGCCTACTTACAGCTCCTATTGTGGTGTACGTAAAACATTAAACTTGGTGAAACGTCCATCTTAGACTTTTTAAATAAAAGTAGATATATAAAAATACTGACCCCGACGTGATTTGAACACGCAACCTTCTGATCTGGAGTCAGACGCGCTACCGTTGCGCCACGAGGTCGATAATATCGTACAGGTCTCAAACAGAATATGTTTTTATAGTTGTAAAGATGTAAATATAAAGACATACAATACGTGGGTATCATTTCTGATAATTACAGGTTGCTATGGTAGCGCAGATTGTTTACGCATTTAACTCGTTCCCTCAACACGAGAAAAAAAAATCGTTCTATCAACATAGGATCTATTGGCCACGAATAAGCATGTCGTTAGCTCAAAAATTGTCTCGTGGACACGACTTATCACTTTCCCACGAGTTTGTCAAAACTACAATATATAGATCTAATGCAGCCCCGCCCATTTTCAGCGCTGCGCTCGTCTTTTGACTTCCGGTCTGTATTTTCACAGCGGTCGACGTCTGCTTTACAATGCTTATGATAAACATTACAATGCTCATTGCACCTTTTGTTAACTCTACAAGTAAATCCACTTCACCAGCTAATTACTCCTCGACAGCGATACCATAGAAATATACAGAGCGACCGCAAAAACGGAAGTTCAAAGACAATATCTAAAGATGACGGCGCCCACGTTTCTCTGGTGCATAAACGTTTGGCTACGACAAAAACTACGGTAAGTGAACCAAATGTAGGGGACACCGTTTTACATATTACACTTACACGCTAGCTTGGACAATGTCACTATGAAGAAAAAAAGTACAGTTTCATGCTGTTTACATGGCCGGTTAGCTCAGTTGGTTAGAGCGTGGTGCTAATAACGCCAAGGTCGCGGGTTCGATCCCCGTACTGGCCAAGTGTGTTTTTTAATTTTCAAATGTTTTTCACCTATATTCGTTATAGTCAATAATCAAAATGGTCAAAAAATCAATAATACATGTCAGTACTAAAGAGTCAAAAACACGCCAAAATGAGCCATGTAAATTGACTGAATACATTTATTTACAAATAAAAACTGTTTATTTATGTGAAACTGATACATTTATTTAAAAAATGTCTTACATAATATAAATTAAATGGCGGAGAGCTAATTATTGCAGCTTGTTGGTTCACTTTTTATATTTTGGGATTTGTATTGTAAATAAATCTGAAGATCTTTTAACCTGTGCTTAGAAAGTGTTCTGCTGCAGATTCTGGCCCCTGTCAGGATTACTCTGATCACTCACACTGCCTGACCTGCAGCAACTGTCGGGTATGTCATGCTGCACTTGCTCTTGCTCTTTTCTCTTAGTGCTTTGTGTGCTGGTCAGTCCTGTGTTTCAGGCGTCCCACCCTTAGGCAGACTGAGAAGCAGAGGGAGATAAGGATAAAAACAGAATGCACACACACACACACACTATCTTTTTTTTCATGAACAAGCCCTATTCTCTTTTTCAAGGATTTAAAATTCTTTATGGTATAGGAGGACTAAATTATGTAATGGGAAAGAGGCATCAGACTGTCAGGACCTCCAAAAGAGCATCCGGTCGTGAGGCCAGGGACTTTGAAAAGAAGCTGAACAACGGGACCCTTGTCACATACAGTGCATGCGAGCTGATCACTGCAGGGTTCCCAGTTTCTATTTATAGTCATGTAATCTTAATCTACCAAAACATGCATTTTCTATTTATTTTTTTTTTATATTCAAACCACTTAAAATAAGTAAATAAACTAAGAAATAAACTGAGAGAGAAAATACAGAGTATTAAAACTACAACTACTAGTGTGAACTACAAATAAAGTCAGTATGTGAGGCTAAATAGATTGTGTTTTAGTCTGAATTAGGTAAATGGTAAATGGACTGCATTTATATAGTGCCTTCATAGACCTAATGGCCACCAAAGCGCTTTACATTTGCCTCACATTCACCCATTCACACACTCATTCACACACCGACGGCGGTGTCAGCCATGCAAGGTGCCATCCAGCTTGTCGGGAGCACCTGTGTGCTTTCAGTTTCCACAAATCCATTCACTTAATTGGGATGTTCTCTTGTGTTCTGGGTGACAAGTGCAGTAACTGTATCGGGCATATTTTGTAGCATTAAACACATATTTATATCGATTTCAGGCTCCAAAAATTCTTCACAGAGAACACAAGGAATGGCCTTCTCAGCTGCCATAGTTGCAACTCTTGCGTCATCAGAAAGGTGCGTTCTCCGCATCACCGTTTCTGTTTCAAAAACGTTGTGCAACGTTTTGTCGGGGCTGAATGCAGCCCACATCCACTTTCAAAATCTTGTCAGAAATTGCTTACTGTACCTTTAAGACACGTGCTTTTTTTCTGAATGAATGGTTGTAAAAGTTGAGTAATTAAACAAGTGGCTTCACTGGAATATCTTTTCCTGTTGTACTCAGTTGTGCAATGCTTGTGTGCTCTTTTTAAAGAGCAGTTGATGCCATTACTTGATAGACCCATATAAAAAAAATCGATATGAACATGTAAAGACGTTAATTTATGTAACAAATGAATCTCTCATTTTAAAATATATAGGCTATTGACCTTGATATATTAGTTTGTTTAACTTTGAGCAAAGTGTGTCACTGTCAACACAGGTTGCCCTTTACTCTTCATACTGTAAACCCGTTTGCCAATGCGTGCTCTCTCTCTCTCTCTCTCACACACACACACACACACAGAAATGATCTCCCTGGGTGAGTATGTCAAGGTCACACATGTGTAAGTGGCTTCTGGAAGAATTTCACTTTGTAGACATTTACACATGCTCACAGTTTACATGTTCACCATCGATGGCACAGGTGTTACTTCAACAGGTCCATCTATTACTGGAACACAAATGCATCTATAGGTCTAAATAGGAATATGTTTTTGTCTCTGTTAAATAAGTGCGTACTTCTTAAATGATTGTAACTTGATCTGTTTTTCTACGTGCAGCAAGAACAATGGAAGAGAGTCGCCACACAGAGTAGGCTAGGATCTTCACAGGGCGCAAATGTTTTACAATAAGACATGATGAAAGCAAAGTAGGACTTCCTTGTCATTTCTTTAATCCTAACATAACATCGGAAGGGAATTGGTGTAACCCGTCCAGATGAGACGTGATCCGCTGGTTTATTGCCTGACGCTGCTGTCAATCCCGTACGGGGCGGTGAAGTTCAGCCTACCGGAGCGCGCGAGATATAGAAGCGCACGTCTGACACCGGAGGAGAAGTTGAGCGGCGGAGCCTTTATCCTCTCCAGCTTGCTTTGCATTGCTCTTACTTCAACCAGGAATTAAAGGCATTACTGAAATAATGCCGGACAGTAGAAAGTTCATCGAGAACCTCTCTGGAGCAGGGAAGTCCATCGGCGTCTTGACGAGCGGTGGAGATGCTCAAGGTATTTCTTTTCTTTAACAAACCGAATAGGATGTCAAGGGTGCTTGTTTGGTCGACATCACAGCGGCAGGTTGACTTGTTTGCATCTATTGATCTGATCATAGGCTAAGTTACGCATTTTGGCAAAACAGAAGATGATAACGGAGAAAGGCGCGGCTGTTCCGGAATTTAAAATGAGGCTAAAACTACATTATCAATACTTTTATAGCGAGTGCGAAGTATGTTTTCAGTTGTTAATTATTACAAAAAATTGTGTTTTTTTCATATGAATGAATATGTATATAAATAGATTGAATAGGCTAGTTTAGGGTAAAACATAGTTTAGCCTATAGATAATTTAATCAAAATAATGAACCGCACAGCTCGAGAGTCATGATGACGACGCGTAAACTGCTCGTGCGACTGGGATAAAATATTTCTAACGCAGCATGACATTGGCTTTGCTACACAGTTAGCCTAAATCATGAATGAATGAAAATTCATTAAAATTATTTCATACGTCTTTCTTTTGCTTTTTGTCCGTCTGTGTGTTTCCCGTGCATCGCGCGTCATCTTTGTTAGGTGTCATCATCATAATACATTTATAATGGTGAAGAATGCGTGCGCGTCTACGTGATGGCAGGCAAGTATTAGAACGAGACTCCCATGATTCCGTGATCACGTGATCACGTGGGAAAAAAAACGACGGCATCCCAAGCATGAGTGCGCAGTGCGCGCGGGTTAAAACAACCCTCGGTCATGGTCATTACCGTTTAATGCATGCATGCTCTCCATAAAGCGAATCGTGAGTCGTTGATTGTTTAGACTAGAGCATGTTTACGAGAGAAGTAAAGAGGCCACGAAGCGTTGTAGGGGCCTATTGCTCTGTGATGCAATGTCTGACTCCCTTTATCAGCTATCTCAATTAGAAGAGACAATTGTATTCTCAACAGAAACATCGTCTTTACTGTTAAATGGGCGTGCACATTTTCAGCGCCAGCCTAAAACAATAGTTTTATATTTACAGTAAATACAATAATTCATTATATAATGGGAGTTCGTATTTAAAGTTCTATGTAATTGCACTAGTGCACTGCTACTCCTAGAGTTTCCGCTTGTGACCCTTTTTACCTTGTAGTGATGGCACTATGTTTCCTAGCAACAGTTTCCTGGCTGCAGCCCTCCAATCACTATGGGTTAGGCTGGACATGGCCTCAGGGGAATAAATGCTTATTAACTTGTCAGGTCACAGCACGAACACACTGAGTAGAGCCTTCACCTTTCATTCCTCTATTTGTGCCACAAATGGTCTGGAGATCTTTGTTGATGGTTTAAAATGACCGTTTTTATGCATCAGTATTTGTGAATGACCAGTCTGTATTTCTCCATGTAGGTATGAATGCCGCTGTGAGGGCAGTGGTCAGAATGGGAATCTACGTAGGAGCAAAAGTGTATTTCGTCCATGAGGTGATTTTATTTATTTTTTTAATTATCAAGATCTAAACTTCTATGAACCTATAGGTGAAACTCGAAAAATTAGAATATGGTGCAAAAGTTCATTTAATTCGGTAATTCAACTTAAAAGGTGAAACGGATATATTATATAGACTTTACGAGCAAAGTAAGTAATTTCAAGCCTTTATTTGTTATAAATTTGATGATTGTGGTTTACAGATATGAAAACCTTTTCAGAATATTCTAATTTTGAATTTGGGGTTTTCATAAGCTGTAAGCCATAATCAGCTTTATCAATGAAATCAATTTGATTTCATGGTGACTTTAGCTATGCTGCGATGTAGTGGTTAAGGCTGAGGATGGGTAGCCAGAAGGGTGCACTATGGGCCCTGAACAAGACACTAATAACCTTATGTAATAATGTAACCCCCTGTAGTCATTTCATGGCATATGACCTTTGCTGTGCAGTGATAAATAAAGATTCTAGGATTCCAGCAAGCAGCATTGTTTATGTGGATCACAAAGGACATACATGAAAGCGTGTCACAGATAAAAGGTGATGTCCATAAATAAAGATTTTTCCTCAGGGCTACCAGGGCATGGTGGATGGAGGGGACAACATCAAAGAGGCATCATGGGAAAGTGTTTCCAGTATGTTACAAGTGGTAAGCAAACTTCCATATTATATTAAAAGCTAAAAAACACATAAAAATTGAGCAAGCACACAAAAATAGAGAAGGTGCAGGGGTGTTGCGTAGAGCTACACAAATCTTTTTTTTTCTTTTTTTTTTTTTACAATGAATTATTCATAAGGGAGAAACAGCTCATCACTGTTTTTTAATGTCGCATTATATCACAATAAATCTATTATACTAGATTTGCATACAAGCTAGAACAACACTCAAATGCTGAAATGTAGAGGAAGAGATATTAAAATATCTATAATAAATATAGATATTATATAGTGTTAGTGAATATATATTTTAAAAATGTAATATTATAATCAAAATAATTTATATAATTATATAATAATTAATATTATTATAGTCTATGTAACACATAAATGTAATACATGCATTTTTGTTATAAAATGTTTATTTAACTATATATATAATAATGTATATATGTTATATAATGTTATATGTATATATGTTATAATGTAAGCATTTTCTGTATGCATCAAATGCTGCTTGCAAGCAACACTTTCATTATACATTCCACTTCTAATGTGATGGATATTTATGCGACAACACTACAGTGTAGCCTATTTTCTTAATGTGACTGTATGTGTGCAGGGTGGCACTGTGATTGGCAGCGCCCGTTGTAAGGATTTTCGTACCCACGAGGGACGTTTGCGTGCTGCTCTGAACCTGGTGCAGCATGGCATCACTTACTTGTGTGTGATTGGTGGAGATGGCAGTTTGACCGGAGCTAATCTCTTCAGGGAGGAGTGGAGCGGACTGTTGGATGAGCTTGTCCAATCAGGTAGCAGAGTAGGAGGGGCTTATACATGGGATAAAAATGTGTAATTTCTAACTGTATTGAATAACAGAAAACCTGTATATTTTTTTATGTATTTATGATTTGTTTCTCTCTCTCAGGTCAAATCACTGAAGAGGCTTCCCAAATTCATTCTACGTTGCATATTGTTGGGATGGTTGGCTCGATAGACAATGATTTCTGTGGGACAGATATGACCATTGGCACTGACTCAGCACTGCACAGGATCATAGAAGTGGTGGACGCCATAATGACCACTGCACAAAGGTATATGCTAACAGTTACAAAAAACATTTTTAAACACTTTTGTTGCCCAACAGTAGGGCATGGCATGACGCCAGCCAGGGCCGGATTTACCTCATATTTTCAAATAGGCAAAATACATTTTTGGGCCTCACCCTGACCCAGGTAGCTTACACACACACTAAACTGTATATCGTCGCCGTTGGGTGTAAACCTCATGCAAAATCGATACTATCAATAAATGTGAAAAAAAAACCATTGTAAGTTCATCAAAGTTCATATTGTGGCTTATCAGAAACGTGTCATATTATTAACATTCTACCTCAATCAAGCTCAAATGGAGTTATGAGGTTTTTGACCAGTGGATGTCGGACATACATGTTTTGTCCATCATTAGAACGGCTGCATCTGAGGCAGCAAGCGCTTTGCGTAACGTTTTCATCATCTTACAAGTTATAAAGTTTACTCCTCAAACACATACTGTAAAATATATATATATGAAGAGTTCAGATGCAAAAGCCTCTAAATGCCATTTGACATTTTCTTCTTTAATGATGATTTTTATCAAACTTGTATATTTAAGTTCAGTAATTTCACTTAAATAACAATTAATAGGTAATTGTCATTGCCATTTAAGTGAAATTACTGAACTTAAATATACAAACTTGATAAAAATTATCATTCTAGAAGAAAATTTCAAATGGCACTTAGAGGCTTTTGCATCTGAACTCTTCATATATATGTTTTTATATATGTAGTCTTTTAAGAATAGAAAACACTACAAAAGAAAATGCTGTACTTAATCAAACAAATAGTTATTTACTTACCGCTTTACACTGCAAACAAGCAAAGACAGTCCAAACTGCATTTACAGACGTAATAAAATGAATGGACAAAAAAAAAAAAGATGAAATATGGAGATACGAGTTTAGGGTTAGGGTTAGTCTTAGGGTCACTCGAATGTTTTACCATTAGAGTGAAATAATAATAATAAATCGTTATATCTCCTTAATGTAATTGTCCCCGCACCCCCAAGGGCATGCGAGCATAGGCACAAGCCTAGAATGGCTATCCATAAATATGGCCCTGGCGCTAGCAATGCCAAGGTCATGGGTTGATTGATTCCCATGCATGAACTGCTTAAATATAAACCTTAGATACTAGTCACAGTGCCTGCCAAATGCATAAATGTAAATTTGGATTTTGAATATCAAATACATTAGACATGGATTTTAACACTTTAAGCCTCTGATTAAAGATAAATCAAAAGTTTTCTTATTTTATATTGTGTCTTTTAGCCATCAGAGGACCTTTGTGCTGGAAGTCATGGGTAGACACTGCGGGTAAGACCATAAACTTGAAACACAAACAGAAACATGCGTTTATAATCAGCATTAAACCATGTGTGTATGTGTGTTAGGTATCTAGCATTAGTGAGTGCTCTTGCGTGTGGAGCTGACTGGGTGCTGATTCCAGAAATGCCTCCCAAAGATGGCTGGGAGGATCAGATGTGTAACAAACTATCAGAGGTAACACTCCACACTCAGCAGAGACACTACTAACCTAACTACGTTGTTCAGTAGCGTAAGTAGCTAACAAGCTATCTTTTATAGCAGTTGCAGTGTAGCCTGACCAAACATTACATCACTGTTTTTTAATGTTGCATTATGTTGTGCATGGAGCTTTGCAATCGAGCAAGCAGAGGAAGTCGTTTACATTTATTCATTCAGCAAGTGCTTTTATTCATAGCGACTTACAAATGAATAGCATCACACGCAGTTTGCCATCAGAGCCAACGATGTTTGTGGAAATTTCAAGTGTGAGCTAGATTAGCACACAAGCTAAAGCTAAAGCTAAAGTGAAATGCAGAAATGTAGAGAAAGAGAGAACTGCATATTATATTGAATTAAGATAATTATATTAGAGATAATGATATGAGAATGAGTACATAATATCTAATTTATATAATTATATATAATTCTTTAAATGTAATAGACGAATCCGACGAGCGTTCTTGTGTAGGCTGCCATCTTGTGGCGACGCCATTACTGAGCTGTTACACCGGCATAGACATATGCACCGGTATGTAAACAAACCTCGGAGATAAGGTGATAACGCACCCTTGATGACAGCTAGAGCCAGGCAGACTTGTTGGGTTGATGATGTTAGACATTGGCCTCCAGTCACAGATGAAGGTACAAACGATCTTACAGATTATTTATGAAAATAGCTTGGCAAGCTAGCTAGGCTAACGTTTGCTACCGAGGAAACTAAAAAAAGATCTGTCCATTTGGCAACAATAAATAAATAAATAAATAAATGAAATCAAATAAACAATTTCATGTTTTTCATTTGTGTGCATTATTTATCTCATTTTGTATTGCAACGGGCATGGGTAAGGTAACGTCACAGCTAGAAAGTATACATAATATCGACTATTTAACGTTACTGTTTTTAAACCATGGAAAGAGGTCAATATAACAGCAGGAGAACAATTATGTCACATAACGTTACATTCAGCTCAGGAAAGCCATTTAATGACCATATTGAATAGAAAAAATAACAAGAGAGGAGATTTTGCTTATCACTATATCACACATTTATTATATTTTTTTACTTATGTCATTAAATAATTGTTATTATACGCGAATGTCCGCGTCTTGTACTCGCCCAGGAAATCTGTGTAAACCGTACGGCACCAGACAGGGGCAGTCGACCCGGGGTATTCACAATGTTTTCTCTTCAAAATTGAAATTTTACTGCCACCATTGAAACAATTTATAACGGAAACTGTTTACCCACTCGACATTATACAAGGGGTAACGTTGTAACGTTAGTGACAGTCGTAAATCGCGGGCTGTTTATTCCAGTGGACGCAAGTTGCAACTAAAACAATAGGAGGCAATGGCGCAACGCTACCCAGCAACAGCTCAGTAATGGCGCCCGCTTACTTCCGGTAGTTTCGCCGGATTCGTCTATAAATAATATCTTATCTAATATTAATTGAGTAACACTGAATCATCACTCAATTGTGTTCCCGGAACTCTTTCATTGTTTTACATTGTCTTTTTGTAGAAAGAGGAAACCTGTAATATATAAATGAGTGTTTTCTTATTAGTTTATTATAAACGAATATGTGTATCAATAGATTAAGTTTGATGCTGTCACTAATTTACCTGTTTTTTTGTGCCAGAAAAATGCTTCTCTTCCCAGATAGCAAACTGACATTGAATCAACGTGGAAATATGACATCGAAACAACGTTGATCTGACATTGTTTTGCTCATCGAATTAACGTTGAACCAACGTCAGATGCGTCATTCTTTCAAAACTAACGGAAAATCAACTTGAAATCAACGCGTTGTTTCAACGTTATGAAAGCAAACCAATTTTCGATTTCATTTAGCTTTGAAGAATGCCGCGTCTGACGTTGGTTCAACGTTAATTCGATGAGCAAATCAACGTTGTTTCAATGTCATGAGAGACGTCGTTTCCACGTTGATTCAATGTCAGTTTGCTGTCTGGGTTGTATTTAACCGAATCAAATAATCTCAACTGATATTTAGATTTAATAGCGTATAGCTTTAATGCACTTAGCCATTTGTTTTAGAAGCTTTTTCTAAAGAATAACTGGACAGTAGTAGTCTAGCCTGTGGTTTAGCTTAGTTTCCCAAGCAGCTGAACACTTCACACAACACACACACACAGCTTGTTTCAGTGCTCCAGTGTTTGTCCTGCAGAGCCGTTTGCGAGGTTCTCGTCTTAATATAATCATAGTGGCTGAGGGAGCCACAGACAGAAATGGAAACCCCATCAGCTCTAATGAAGTGAAGGACGTGAGTATCTGCTCCCTCGTCTCACTGGCGTATATGTATGTACGGATGTGTGTGTGCGTCCTTTTTTTCCCTTGTAGAATCGTGCTGATAAGAAACGGCTTAATATCATCATAGTAGCTGAAGGTGCAATAGACCATAACAACAAGCCCATAACCACAGACCAAATAAAGGACGTGAGTAATGCACAGCTACAGCACATTATGAGCCTATACATGACAGCTTTCCTTCTCTTACACTTCATGAACAAAATACTTCAGAATTGATTTATTTTATACTTTCTATGTCCTCATTTTTTGGCTGAAGTATTAACAAGTGCATGTTTTGGATTTGAGTTTTGTCTTTTTCTGTAAGTATCAACTGTGTGTGTTTCCATGTGATACTTCTCTTCATTTAGTAACAGTTTTGATCTGTGTGTTACTTACTTCTATGCTTTTAAGTCACAGACATTTCTCTTACATCATGCATGTCTGTGGTTATGTTCGCTGCGCTTTCAGGATAAACCCCTTTTGAAACATTGCTTTGTTCATGCACGCATGTTTTAATTCATGGTGGAGTTTTGAGCTTGGTTTCCATGTTCAGTCTGACGTCAATAATAAATCCATCTACTGTAACACTACCGTTCAAAAGATTATTTATTCAAATTAATTCATGCTTTTAATCAACAAGGATGCATTAAATAGATCACATGTGAAAAAACACTATTTAACTATTTTGCTGTTCTTTGAATCAAAATGAATAATAATAAAAAATAAGGACAAACATATTAAGTTTTCAATATTAATAATAATGATAAAAAATCAGCAAAAAAGAAAAGCAAATCAGCAAATTAGAATGATTTCTGAAGGATCATGTGACTCTGACGATTGGAGCAATGATGCTGAAAATTCAGCTTTGCATCACAGGAATTAATTACATTTTTAAAATTTAATGAGTCAGAAAACAGTTATTTTAAATGTTATTAATATTTCACAATATTACAGTTTTTTATGTTTTTGATACACTAAATGAGACTTACAGTAAGAGACTTGCTTCAAAAACAAATCTTTTGAACAGTAGTCTTCAGGATCTTGCTGGATCTGTTTGAAAAGCATCAGTATTTGAGGTGAAGTGAATATTGTGTTATATATATACTCTCTATTGCAGCTGGTTGTGCGCTGTTTGGGGTTTGACACGCGGGTCACCATTTTGGGTCACGTCCAGAGAGGAGGAACACCCTCTGCCTTTGACCGCATTTTGGTATGTTCCTACAAAACACACTTTAGCATGTTGTATGTACTCTCTATCACACAGTTCTCTCTCTCCTCTGTTCCTCTGTAGGCGAGTCGAATGGGAGTGGAAGCTGTTTTGGCCCTGTTAGAAGCGTCTCCTGGCACTCCAGCGTGTGTCGTGTCTCTGTGTGGGAACCAGGCTGTCAGGGTGCCTCTGATGGAGTGTGTTCAGATGGTGAGAAAGGAACTTAACTAATGACAGAGCTTTGGGTTTTAAAGTTTATGGCAACGTTTATTAAACCTTGGAGCTTTGGTCTAGCAGTTAGTGCAAGTGCTAGTGCTATTTCGGTAAAATAGGTTAGATTTAATTGCATTTTTATTTATCTGAAATAATAAAAAAAGGTTTTTAACAGAGTTATACTTATTATTGGTGCATATAGACAACGTGGTCCATATAAACTCTGTTAACAGCCACTCCTGAATCTCAGTTTAGTTCAATCAAAATGCTCTGTTTGGGAGATTTGGAGTTGTCAGTTTGATAGTTTGTCATTCTACAGACGCAGGAGGTCCAGAAGGCCATGGATGAAAAGAGATTCGCAGAAGCCGTAAAGCTGCGCGGCAGGTAAAGCACAAAAATTATAATTTTACTATCAATGGTAAATACATTTATGCACTTTTATCAAAACAGGAAATGTCTGAATTGCTTTTAGATCCTTTTTCTCTTTTTTTGTATTTTAGAAGTTTTGAAAACAACCTGAATACTTACAAACTCTTGTCTCACCACAAAATTGACACTGAACTTCCAAATGTAAGTCAGTCACAATGTGAACAAGACATAATGTATATTTTGCACAAAATGTTTGGTCTGATTTAGCCACTTTATGTGATACTGAAAGCTCAATATGTTTTCTTTTGGAATGTAGGAAGGCCATTTGCATGTATGTACTGTAGAAGCAGAATAGAATAGAATAGAATAGAATAGAATGGAATAGAGAATTGTCAAGGCATTGTCATTTGTAAATGTTTTTGTTTTTGAAAGAAGTCTCTTATTCTCATCAATGCTGCATTTATTTGATCATATAGTAAAATACAGTAAAACAGTAATAGTTTTTTATATTGATTTGAAGGTTTAGAAGTTAGTTGCATAAAAATAGAACATTTTATACTGAAGATGAAGAAAGTTCAAATCAGAGTCACACGACCACAGGCCACATGTTCATAGTTATGGATTACGGTGCTTTACTGTGATTTACTCACAAATGCACAAATAAAGCTTAATCCAGGATTTTGTTCTGTTGTTTCTGTCGTGTATTAAATAAGACTCAACACTGTATTGTTCTATAAACATTTCTGCATGTATTATGCAGTTTATGTAAAAGCAGGGAGCAGGTACTTTGAGCTCATTTCACTCATTTTGAGAATCTGGCCTGACTTCTGATTGGTCAAATAAACATTTGTTTTAATTGGTTTGGGGTTTCATCATATGTGTGGTGTGTGTGATATGCTCTCTTCTCTTCACTAGAGTTCGTTTAATGTGGCCGTATTGAATGTCGGCGCTCCTGCAGCTGGCATGAATGCAGCCGTGCGTTCGGCCATCAGGGTCGGGATCACAGAAGGCCACACTATGTTTGCTGTTAGTGACGGATTCGAGGGCTTCTATAAGGGACAGGTAACGGATAACAGATCTTTATGTATGTGCAATTGGTGTTTCTTTAATATGGAAACTATGTTGATTATTTTAGGAGCTTTTCAAAAGCTTTTTATGTAGATATTTAATTGTTTTAATTTTCTCACAGAGCCAGACTTTCAATTTTAAAATAGGAAAATACGTTTTAAAAACATCGAATTTTTGATAAAAGAAAGTTAATACAGTATTATTAGTCTGTGAGACTGCATATAGTGTGCATGTGAATCAGTCCCTTGCCAAATGAGATAAACAGTCATGATTACAGTAAGCCCATTATTCCCTCCCACAATCCTCTGCTGCATTGTGCTCAGTGCCATATTTAACCTTGTGTAGCATTACAGATCCACTTTATACTGCTTGCTTCCTCATTCAGAGGAAATGGTACTACTAATGCTGTGTGTATTCTTATTAAATGAGGAGTTTTCTTGTTTGTTTTTTGGCCAAATATCCCTTAAACGTGATTGGATATGTTTCTCTGTGTAAGAAATGAATGCTTTATATTTAGGATGTATATTATGAGAAAGAAAAACACCATATTAGTATCAGTGATCATCATTTTCAGCATAACACAGTTTATGAAGAGATAACAATTTAAAACTCGAGCAAAGGTCCATGATCCCATATTTACTTTTATTTGTTCTGCAGATAAAAGAAATCAAGTGGGGTGATGTTGGGGGCTGGACAGGCCAGGGCGGGTCCCTGCTAGGGACAAAAAGGTAACATTACATTTCCAAGGGCCCGTTATCAGTGAAAAGACACTGATATGCCTTTATGCACGGGATAAGATGCTTTCTAATATCCTGAAATATATTTTTCAGAACTCTCCCAGCAAAACACATTGGTAAAATTGCAGAACAAATGAGCATTCACAACATAAACGCTTTACTTGTTATCGGAGGATTTGAGGTATGTAATGTAATATTTACAATATTTGTATACATTTATGTATATAAATAAGTCAAATCACATTTTAATTATATTATTTTCCTGCTATACATTATGATCACGTGCCATTGTGTCTCTTTTGTGTCTCAATTGTGCAGTACAGGATTTCTGAGAAACTCTGTTGAGATTTGAAATCACAAAAACAAACACACTTCTTCCCAAAAGGATCACACCCTTATCATGATAGCCCCACCCCCAAATTCACCAACACCCTATGCAACACAGGTATATCCCCTAATGAGTGGACACGCCCCTTACTGCTGATTGGCTACACGTGTGTTTTGGTGCTCGGTCCGGAAAAGCGTTTCGTTTCTCAGAATTCGCTTACTGCACCTTTAAATGATGTCATGATGGTATGTTTTATAGTATTTATTACAAATTGTTAATTACCGACAAGAAATTTACAGTGTTTTTTTCTATTGCTTCCAGACATTAACTAGTTTGTAACAAAATAACATTTAATTTAACTGAGGCACAACATTTATTTGTTTTGAGATTATCTTGTTATTTTAACAATGCATATCTATAATAAATACATTAAAATCATACACCACACTTCAACATTTATGGGGTCAGTGAGATGGGGAAAAAATTGAATGCATAATGTATTTATATTTTTATTTGTAATTATTTATTATAAATATATATATATATATATATATATATATATAATTTTAAAATCACTGTTTTTACTGTTAGTAAATCAAATATATGCAGCCTTGGTAAGTTTGTTAGCATGAGAGACTTCTCAAAAACTTAAAAAAATCTTACCAACCCCAAACTTTTGAACAAAAGATATCATTTCATTTGTCATTTCACAATCGTACTACTAATCATCGTAAATACTTCCAGTCTCTTCATAATAAAAGTGGGCATGGCTCCCTTCCCTTTTTTAATATTACCCATAATTCTAGCCTGTGACCCGTAAGTCTCGCTCTGACCGCAGGCATATTTGGGGTTGATGGAGCTGCAAGCAGCTCGTTCCAAACACACAGAGCTTTGTGTTCCCATGGTGATGGTCCCGGCCACTGTGTCCAACAATATCCCCGGCTCAGATCTGAGCATCGGGGCCGACACGGCCCTCAACGCCATCACGGATGTAAGACGTCACACACTCGTGTCAAAGAGTGTGTGTGTGTGTGTGTGTGTGGGTGGGGGGGGGCATGTATATCTGTTTGTCAAGAGCACTGTCTGTAAGATGCACTGAAAGTTCATGGCTGATGATGACCAACCTCCCTGTCAGAAAACACACAGGTCATATTCTAAATACTTGAAGGATAAATCATTTTGTTAATAATGTAAGACTAGATAATTTTGGATTTTAGATCCAAATGTAGACATAGAAAGTGCAATAGAGCTACAATTGGTGGGATAAGGTAGATTTACATGCATTAAGGTGAGGGAAAGTAGTTTTTTTTTTGTTTAGTTGGAGCTATTTAACAGGGCTATTTGGTAGAATTTGGTAGAATTGTATGGGAACCACTCAACATTTCTAATTAATTCATAACTGAATGTGATGAGACAAGACTTTTTAACATTCTTTATTTGCCATACGAGTTAATGTGTGCATATTTTAAAATAAAAATACTATTTACAAATAGTACAAATTAATTAACGATCCTTTAATTATTGAATTCATTTAAATAAAAAGATTATTACTACTTTGGTTTGGAAGTCTGCAAGTAACAAATTTAATTAAACGTGAAAATTCGATGACTGAAATAGTATTTTATTTTTAAAACGTACTTCGATAATCATGTTTGTATTTACAACTTTGAAAACATATTTTTTACAGTGAAGTTTAATTTCACTCGATAAGTGACATTGACCTTGGTCCGACTGAAATCGAACTTTTAAAGTGCATGTAAACATACTTACAATGCTCTCAGAGTAGGTTATAGTAGCACGAAGTAGAGCTGCATTTGTTGGGGTGGGATATCGCTGTGTGTGATGATGGGCTGAGGTTGGTGGTCACTGCGGCCTGACTGAATCAATGTGTCTGGAAAAAAACGCATGTGGTAACACAGCACAACCTGTCACCCAGTCCTGCATCTGACAGTAAAACTGTGTGTTTGTACCTGTGGTGTGTGTTGATATTGCAGGCCTGGTCCAACTAAGTAGCACAATCATAATGAGATCCAAATTGCAACTTTTTTGCATTTTATGTTTGATTATAATGCATGTTCTGCCAAAAATGATCTAAAAGTTTTCCATTCTGTTTCATTTATAAGTAAACCTTTATTTATATACACTGTGAGATGAAGATTAATATACTTATTGATCTTGTACCTTTGAGCTCAGTTCCACTGTTTTTTAAAAAATGAATAAAAATAAAAATAATATAAATACTTGAATTAATGTCCTGAGACTAAGTATTGGGAATTGAGTTCAAAATAACATCACTAACAAATAAAACCATTTGGTGGACAAAAATCAATACATACATTTTCATTAATTTTAATGGGTAAACTTTAATTTATATCCTATTTATGTTGTGGAATAAGCTTTTATTTTGTGTTTCAGCTATAACAAATAATTACATGCTCTTAAAATAATCTTAATCACTGATACTAATGGATTAATTAAATATTTCCTGTAAGTTAAAATTGAATGATTATGGACACCATTCACTTCTAACAAAAATATGTTCTAAAAATATTAAGCTAATGTACCCATTTAGTTAAGAAGACATTATTTCTTAAATTAAATTTGTATCATTCTTCAAACCTTACTTTTGAATGTTCTCCGAACATTCTGAAACAAGTAGTAACATTTAAAAAAATGTTAGACCAACATCCAACTAAAATGTTTTTAAAAAAAATATTAAATGAGTGACGTATATGCTTTTGTGCTAACGTTTTGATGACATTATTAAAGACCACTAGCCTGGTTAAAACTAGACCATTCTCAGTTCTAACTGAGTTATGGTCTGGCAAAGCGTCATAGACAAATCATTTCCAGAGGTGCGTCACCAACGGACGTCGCGGGTAGACCTAAAACCAATCAAAGCGTTGAAGGAGATGGCGTATGCAGAGTGTTGTTCTTTGCTCGGTTTTTAACAAAAAGGAAACGTTCAAATCGCTTAAAAACAGACGCGATAGCTGATTCGAACGAGTGATGTTCAACGGCGGCCTCCATCTTTTTTAATGTAGGCTACGAAATATGCTTCAAAATCCCAGTGCTGTTGTCATTGTGCAAAGCCCGCCCCAACGTTTCTGATTGGTGCCTCGATTTCGACGGATTGGAAATGGGCTTGAATGAGCTCTTTGCCACACTAACTTTCAGAGTAAATCTAAATTTGCTGGAAGTGTCTGGGTGTTCCCATGCTAAAAGACCACACGACTTTGAACAAATATGCTATTAACGTTACTGGAAGAACATCGTCAGAACGTTAGCTAAAGTTATCAGTCTTTGTTAGTTGGGTTTTGTGGCACACTGCCAATTTCACATGCATACATTTTTCAGTTTAAATTCATACTGCATATGCTCTCCTTAGAGATTAAGGTGTACAAATCAAATGTAAGTGCAACTAACTGCATGCTGTTTTGGGCCTGGCCTGATGTCTTGTGTGTTTCTGTCTCATTAAGGTCTGGTTGTGCTGCTTTTTTTGTTTGGTTGTGCAGTCGGTCACACTTTGGTTATTGTGAGGTTTCCTGCTTTCTAAACAACTTGCCTCTCAGTCACCATTTAGCCAATGCCATGCCCACGTCACGAGGATCTGGTGGTCAACTTTCGACCTAGTCGTCTTGAGTAGACAGGAAACACTTTTTCCCTCTCGAAACAGTCAGAAAGGACGTCCTGTTTAATGTACACTAGTAAGCGAGGAAGTGAGCAATCGTCCTAATGCATGTGCACTGCTGCAGGCCTTTGAGAGTTTGCTGCAGCTGGTGGATGCCCGCAGCACTTATGAGGAGTTCTGTGTGCCCATGTGCATGCTGCCCGCCACCATCAGTAATAATGTAGCCGGCACTGACTTCAGCATTGGCGCTGACACTTCCCTCAATGCCATAGTGGAGGTAAGACACACCATCCTCGCCCGGAAAGCCAGATGTTACCATGTCGGTTAGTACAGCGGAAATAACAAGATTTTTTTGTCAGACTGTATCTTTAAAGGTGCACCAAGTCATTCTAGGTAATGTAAGACTGGGAAAACAAAACAAATCACAACATTATTGGATTTAATAGTGACACCTGTTTTAACAACTTTATTCCAAAAGGAAGTGTACAATAATGGGGGTTTACCAAGATAGGTGTGTTCGACTTCATGTGGCGCTGCGCAGACCGATCGGCATCTGACTTGAAGCACTGCATGCGGAAATGCAGATTCGAAATTTTGTCCGAATTGAGAGAACGTCATTGTGACAAAAAAATGTGGCATCAAAGTACCGCGAGAGTGATTCGAAAAAACGGCTGCATACGCTCTGATTATTACACAAACCCACCTCCTCTCACTCACTCGTTTTTATTTGCTCTGGATGAATATTGTTGCTGTTACAGGGTTCGAATTTCAGCGTGGGATTGCACGTATTGCACATCATTTCACTGATTCCTACAGATTTTGTGCTTACACCCAAAGTGAGTGCGCATAAGCCACCCTTTTATTAAATTGAGATATTTTTCGCTGCTAATTGCGCTTAAAAGGTCAAATACACACAAAATAATGTCTAAATACATGAGTTTTCATGTAAACACAGTCAGTTATGTTTTAAGATAACGTAAAAAGAAGGAAAACAAAAATAATGGATCTGTGTGTCCGGTATTAAAATGACCGCAAAATATTATCAAATTATTCGATAATATTAAAAATATCTAGATGGCAGTATTTACTCATGGTATCTAGCAAAATTGTGGATATAACTTTGGAAAACCACTAGCCAAAGTGGCTGGTGAGCAAAAAAGCCCTTAATGTAACCTTAATGTTATATTGTGTCACGTTTATCAAAATAACATAGATACTAAATATATAGACCCACTTTATTGTTATTTAAATAGTATAGGTGTCACGGGTGTGGGTGCAGGCAGAAGGACAGGCTGAGTCCAAAAAGCTCCAATATACAGATTTACTAATAATTCAATATAAATACAGGCAGGAAGACAGGGTAACACCAAGTAACATTAAACATTGACCGACAAACACAGGCTGACAGAGGGAGAACTAAATACAAGCAAGAATCAAACTAAACGAGGTGCAAACAGGTGAGAATGATGATGACAGGACGAGGAACAGGTGGCTGATTGGGGAGTGAGTCCGGGAGTAGAAACAAAAGGATCCGGGGAAGTGTGGTGCAGATGACGGGACACACTGGTGAGGACGACAGACTGTGACATTACTCCCCCCTCCCGGAAGGCGTGGCCTCACGCCATAACATCAATGGGGAGGGGGGGTGGGCGCCCTGGAGGCTGTGGAGGGCGTGGTCAGGAGGGAGAAGCCCCCCAGGGCGGAGCAGGCTGAGGGCGAGACCAGGGCGGAGCAGGCTGAGGGCGTGGCCAGGGCGGAGCAGGCTGAGGGCGTCCCCAGGGCGGAGCAGGCTGAGGGTGAGGCCAGGGCGGAGCAGGCTGAGGGCGTGGCCACGGTGGAGCAGGCTGAGGGCGTGGCCAGGGTGGAGCAGGCTGAGGGCGAGACCAGGGCGGAGCAGGCTGAGGGCGAGACCAGGGCGGAGCCGATGGAGGGCGAGACCAGGGCGGAGCAGATGGAGGGCGAGACCAGGACGGAGCAGATGGGAGAGGAGACCAGGGTGAAGCTGAGGGACAGATGACATATGGTGCTGAGGAGGGACCGAGGGACCATGGTGACACCGCAGGCTCAGGTGACGGAAGTGACGACAGGGGCACAGAGGGACACGGTGAGGTCAGAGGGAGTGAGGGCTGATGGGTGACTGGAGGGAGTGAGGAGTCCGACAGAACTGGGGGGGTGACATGATGGGGCGGAGCCAGAGGAAGGAAGTCCCAAGGTGAAGGGAGGATGACGAGGGAGCGAAGGGAGTCCGGAGGGTCTAGGGAGCCTGGCCGAGCTGGTGGACTGAGGGGCCATGGAGGAGCTGAGGGAGGTAGGAGCCACGGGGGAGCCAATGGGACCGGGGGCCGAGGAAGTGTCCAGATGGAGGAGGTGTGAGGCGAAGGCCGGGGATCCAACGACCCAGCTGGGTCAGGGGAGCTGGCAGACGGAAGGGCTGACGGCTGTGTGACGGGAGGAGGTGGGAGAGGGAGGGAGAGGGAGGCTGGGTGGGATCCTGGTCTCGGGCTCTGGCTGGACGGTCTCTGGCGCTGGCTGGACGGTCTCTGGCGCTGGCTGGACGGTCTCTGGCGCTGGCTGGACGGTCTCTGGGGCTGGCTGGACGGTCTCTGGCGCTGGCTGGACGGTCTCTGGCGCTGGCTGGACGGTCTCTGGCGCTGGCTGGACGGTCTCTGGCGCTGGCTGGACGGTCTCTGGCGCTGGCTGGACGGTCTCTGGCGCTGGCTGGACGGTCTCTGGCGCTGGCTGGACGGTCTGGACGGGGCTGGTTGGAACCAGCGAAGAGGGGAGCTCGGGCTCGGAGAGGCTGGGCGGGACCAGCGGAGAAGAGAGCTCGAGCTCGGCGGGGCTGGACGGAACCAGCGAAGAGGAGAGCTTGGGCTCGGCGAGGCTGGACGGGACCAGCGGAGAGGAGAGCTCAAGTTTTGCCGGGCTGACGGTGAGCTCAGGCTTTCGGGGGACCAGAATCAAGCAGGGCCGCCGAATTGGAGAGATTATCCCCCGAAAAGTCACTGCAGTCATGTCCATCTTTGCTTTTGGGTCGGTCAATCTGTCACGGGTGTGGGTGCAGGCAGAAGGACAGGCTGAGTCCAAAAAGCTCTAATATACAGATTTACTAATAATTCAATATAAATACAGGCAGGAAGACAGGGTAACACCAAGTAACATTAAACATTGACCGACAAACACAGGCTGACAGAGGGAGAACTAAATACAAGCAAGAATCAAACTAAACGAGGTGCAAACAGGTGAGAATGATGATGACAGGACGAGGAACAGGTGGCTGATTGGGGAGTGAGTCCGGGAGTAGAAACAAAAGGATCCGGGGAAGTGTGGTGCAGATGACGGGACACACTGGTGAGGACGACAGACTGTGACAATAGGCTTATGTTGAACTTTATTCTTGCACAGATGGCGCTGTATTAAGCACTACATCAAAAGTGTTTCTGTTGCTTCATGAAGCAAGCGGCAACTCGCGCCGATCGGTCTGCGCAGCGCCACATGAAGTCAAACACACCTAAAGTGAGTATAATTTCATGATCATGCCTGGGAGATATAAGAAGACATATATTTTTTATATATATTTCATAAAGAATATAATTGCACGCGCGATATTGCGCGATAATAAATATTTTGTACATTTTCACAATTTTTTATAAAAATATAATTTTTCAAGGGGAAAAAACTATTTACAATTTTACGTTCAAATCTGGAAGTCACGAGAAACGCATACAGAATGTTTTTTTTTTCAGGTTTCATTAAATTGTTTAGATATCTGCCCGCTTTAGATGTGAGATACATTATCTGTGGTTATGTAATATATCGAACTGTGTCTGTCCACTACAGGAACAGATTTATATGCTGATCTGAAAGTTTGAATATTTTCCCAAGTTGCATGGTAAACATGGATCCTCACAAAAAACACTTAATTTAAGAGTTGGAACCACATGCATGTTCTCTGTTGATGTGAACTATATTGTGTCTCGTGCTTGCATGCGATTTGGGTCCTAAATTAACACTCAACAAGTGCCAACTGTGAGTTTAAAATTGGTTGGAATTGCAACATTATACATGGACAAAGTGTATGCAGAACATGTAACTCAACTCTAATACAAGTACTAAATAATTTAATACTAATAGGCACAAAATATATATTTTTAATGAAAAATAATGCAGAGAATATTTTTATGATGTTACTTAAAAATAAATGTTATTCATATATTATATAATAAATACAAATAAATAGATAAATGACCCACTATTGGCCAGTTAATTTTGGACCATGCTTCAGTACTCGTGTTATACTTGAATGCATCTTTTAATATCCCGTATGTCTGAGTTTATGGTTTTGTGTGTGAGAACGGCAGTCGTTAATGAAGTGTGTGTGCATGAGATAGGTTTCATTCTTAAACCATTACAATGTGTGTGTTAGACGTGTGATCGTATAAAGCAGTCCGCCAGCGGGACCAAGCGTCGCGTGTTCATCATTGAGACGATGGGTGGTTACTGTGGTTATCTGGCGACGGTGGGGGGGCTGGCGGCCGGAGCCGATGCAGCCTACATCTATGAAGAGCCGTTTGACATCCGAGACCTACAGGTAAGAGACATTCACTTCTGTCCATATTATCTGAATATAATATTTTCAAATATGCACCTATGTTACACCTGCAGTGCAACTGTATGGAATTGATAAGGTGATTACAGTGTTCTCTCCTTCCCCGTCCTCTGTCTCCTCTGTCCCATGCGCAGGGTAGAATATTTAGCAGTGTGTACTATTTAAAGAAACAGAGAGAGAGAGAGAGAGCGTCATGCTGAGTTTTTATGAGTGCTCTATTTTTCAGTCTAACGTCGAACATTTAACTGCAAAGATGAAGACTAGCATCCAGAGAGGTTTAGTGCTCAGGTATGATCTATATATCGCACATACAGCATTTACACTACACTGATTGTATGATGTAGATCTGAATGTGTAGAAGGAGTGAGGCGTGATTGTATGTGTGTGTTTTACAGGAATGAGAACTGCAGTGAGAACTACACAACTGACTTCATCTACCAGCTGTACAATGAAGAGGGCAAAGGAGTCTTTGACTGCAGGAAGAACGTCCTGGGACATATGCAGCAGGTACACACAAACACACACAAGAAAACAACTGAACATGATCAGAATATTGTTCATTTGCCACGTTATGATGTCCTGTAGGGTGGTGCTCCTTCACCGTTCGACAGGAACTTTGGCACCAAGATCTCTGCTAAAGCCATGCAGTGGATCTCCAAGAAGCTCAAAGAGTTTTACAGAGAAGGTAAAGAGAAAGCACTCCTGTAAAGATGCAGTCGGGGATTGTATGAACTCATGAAAATGAAAATATTCACACTGCTGCAAGAAATGACATTCTGATGTCTCAGGTCTCATTTCTGCACCAGATACATTAATGTAATTATACGGAATTATCTAAGAGGATAATGTCATTTTAATGGACAATTACAATTAGTTTAGTAAATTAACGTCAGTGCCATGAGTTTGCCATACTTATAGGCTGCAGATTTTTGATGTAAAATGTAATATAGTATTCAATATAATTAAAAAAAAGTATTATAATAAAGATATTATTTAGAAAAATGTAATTGATAATGAATTAATAATGAATTGTAAAAATAATACATTACTATTAATAAAATAATGTAGCTTATTTTATTTGAAACTATTAAATATTATAATAAAATTTTATAAATATAAATTACATATACTTTATTAATCAAATGTATCATTCATATATATACTGTATATATGATTGCTTTATATATATATATATATATATATATATAAACATACACATTTTGATCTTAAAAGTGTATTAGTACATTTTAAGATTTAAAATGAACTAAGATTCATAAAAGTGGTAGAAATATTGTTCATTTTTCATTTTACAAATGTAGTTAAAGGGATAGTTCCCCTAAAATCATAATTTGCTCACCCTCATGTCATTTCAAACTCTTAAGACTTTCGTTCATCTTCGGAACACAAATGAAGATGTTTTTAATGAAATCTGAGAGCCTATTGTCCCTCAATTGACAGCTACACAACTACCACTTTGACGCTCCAAAAAGTTCATAAAGAGATTGTAAAA